GATTCGTCTTTTTTTGTGTGTTTTAACCAAATTGTCACTTCCAGATGAGGAGTGTGCCCTTGTGAGATGATTCTTTTGCATATTTGTAAGGTAAAAGTCTTTCTTTGTGGAGTAAATAGAATTAAAATAAAACAAACCCCATTTTTTTTCTTGAGAGGACAGCCGAAAAAGTCATGAGATTAAGTCAAACCCTCGTGACTAGCCAAACATAATTTAAAATAGCTCAACATTAAAGAGCTTTTCCCTTTTATCTGCTGGCCCGTGGCTCACTGTTAGGTAGTAATGTCAGCTGGGTGTGCGAAAGCTGCTGGAAGTTTGGAAGTGAACCTTAATAATTGGAGCTTATTGTTGTTCTAAGTGTCAAAACTGCAAAGGAGAACACGTGCTCTCTGCTGCACACAAGGGTATTTATTTTATTTTTTTTTTTTTCCTTGGGTGAACGGGAAGGAAACATGTGAAAGCAAATCTCTTGCCTCCTGTGACAGTGTCACCATAACTTGTTTTATTTATCCGTTTCCCACTGATAAATGATACGGATGCGGCCCGGGTGGATGGGGCAGGGAAGACAGGTAGCCCTCACGCTGCAGGAGGTCAAGGTTAATGCTACCTCCAGCCTTATAATGACAGATGGGAGGCAGAAACCTTAATGTACTTGTGATTAGCATATGGTTTCCTTGGCTGAGCGTCCGAAGGATTTGAGAAGCCTTGGTAGGCTCTTCGTAGCGTACGCATTTCAAAACAAATAAATAAAAAGGGCGTGTGGTTGTATTGTTGAGCCTTTCAGCTGTTTTTCTTGAATATCTCCGCTTTTGAGTCAAGTCCCGTCAGCCGCTTTGTTCTGGAGATGCTCTGGGGTAATCCATCACCGGGGACTCGCGGGTGGGTTGATGTATGAGCACGACACGGCGACCTGTGCTCCTTTGATGTATAACTCATCAAGATAATGTTGGCAAGCATTGTGCGAAGGCAGCGTGTTTAAAAAGTATTAAGATGAATTGATGCCTCGCTTAAGAAGTGTGAAAGGAAGAATAATGGCCGATTAGCTGCGGGACGCCGCGGCTCTGCCGGCGCTGGGAGGCGTTGTGCGGTGCGGAGGGGGAGGATGGAATTTCATCTTTCCTCCCTCTTCTGACAGCAAAGTGTCTGGCCCTGGTTTTCCCATTCTCAGGCCACAAAAAATCGCATTAAGTCTTATTTTGTGATAGCGTACTTTGTCACTTCCAAAAGCAATTTAGCCGGTCCCGAAACACTCCTTTTTACTTTATTACGTTAACTTGTTCTTCTAAGAGTAGCCCTGATTTTTATCTCATGGAGACAAGCTGCGGCTGGTGGTGTTTAAAAACCGTTTTACACAGTGGTGTTATGACTGAAAAACCGTTAGTTTTTGGTTCCTTCTTTCCTGATCTTGAAAGACACAAAGGGAAGAGACGTCCTGGCACACCCAGGGCATCTCCTTGTCTGCGCAGGATTGCTTCATTCATCGCTGGTTCTAGTGCTGTTCCTGGATCATTACAGGGATTTTGGAGTCTGCCATCACTGGGGTGATGTGAGGAATATATTTAGAGTAACCTGTATGGCTGGATGTTATTTTAGCCCAAATGTCCTAAAAGGATTAGGTTGAAAACGTCCTTCTGCAACTGAAATATCAAAATACTTCATAATATTTAACACATCAGGGTCTCTTTTAAGACTTCATAATGGCTTCTACAAAATGCTCAAGTCCTTTCTTTCTCCTTTTTTTTATTTTTTCAAGGAAAAATCTGAACAAGTTCTCATTGGTGTCTGAGGGGCTGCAGAACTCTGTTATTAATATAGCGAAAATCAAGATTGCATTGGGTCTTACAGTCTTGAGTAAAGTCCTTGTCCCTCTTTCATCAAGAAATGTGTGATGGTCTGATAAACTCTGCCCACCAATGCGGTCTTGACAATGATCTTGCACTGCAGACTGCTTAATAATTTTCATTATTTTTAATTAAAGTTGAAGAAGTGCAGACTCCCGCTCAAATTAGGGTTGGTTGTGTTGCCGGAATGTGGTAATTACTTTAATTGATCACAAGATAGTTTCCTTGATCACCAATTAGACCAAATTACCGATCAAGTTTCAAGACGTGAAGAAATGTCCAAGCTGATTTTATGTAATAGTGTTTTCATATCTAATCAAACCTAAATATCTTTTCCTTCCAGAGCCAATTGTATTTTCCCAAAGAAGGGTTACGGCTCTACAAATACAAAGGTGATTCATAAACAATAGCGTTCCAATTCATTTAATTAGGAAAGGAAGTATTTAGGACCCTAATGGAGATTGCGCTGGTGAAATTGCTGGGTAGAACTGTAGCGCATTTTCTCAGTGGGAGATACTTTTTGCATATAATTAAAATAAACTTAAAAGCAAGAAGTAAGTTGCTTTGGGTAATGTGCAGTGAGGGAGAACATCTCTGAGTGGAGAGGGACATGTGTGCTGGGTCCTTCGCTGTGGCAGGATTGTCCTGGGGGGTTCCTTGGCTCCAAAATTGGCTCATTTTCATGACTTGGACAGCCCCAAGTTGAGAGCTCTTTGTCAAGTTGAACAGCGTTAAGACCAGTGACTGTTTTATCCAACTGGAGATTTTTTTGCTGTTGCAGTGGGAAGAGGCAGTGGGTTGGCAAGGTGGTCCACCGAGCAGAGAAGACTTGGTGGTCAACTGAGTGGGAGGATTTAGAGATTCATGGAATGGTTTGGGTTGGAAAGGACCTTAAAGATCACCTAGTTCCAACCCTCTGCCATGGAAAGAGACAAAATTAATTAATCTCCGGGAGGATTTGGTGGTCCACTGAGCAGGAGGATTTATTGTCACAAAGCCTGAAGGAAGGTCCGAAGAGCAGATTAATTTAGTGGGCTCGTTTGCTTGCGTGGTTCACTCTGCCTTACATCAGAGTGATGATTATTGTCACACGATCAATTAATTGTGTTTGTGTGGTGTGACCTGTGTCTGTACGTAGGCGGGTGAGTTCCTGGGATGGACAGACAGACACTGGTAGAGCATACGTGAACCTGGTAGGGTTTTCATAAATTTAATGTGTTTTTTCCCTTGCTGTTTGTTTGTACAATCTAGTTGGAGATGCATTGCTGTTTTAAGTTTTTTGGGATGTTTCTGTGCATAGCTTGCTGTGTTGGAAATACCATTCCTATTAAGCCCGCGGATGGTCTAAAAACATTGAAATCAAATATCTTTTCAGAGCTATTAATGCAGAAGTTTTCCGAATCGTTGCTAACATCTAATGCGCAACTTGCAGCTTTCTGCTTCAAAGCCTGCTGCTGAAACATTTGCAAATTTTTAAAAGTAATTGTTCACTCGAAGTAAAACTAAACCAAGCGAGAGCTTCAAGGGAAGTTAGACTTTCCTGAATTTTGGAATGCTCTTGGGTCAAAGAAAAAAGCTTTTTAATTGCTGACAGTTTGGTGATTTCCAAATGACAAACCTCATTGGAATGATTTTCTCTGATTATAACGTTTGCATTCATTTGACTGGCAAAGCGACTAACAAAGTCATACTTCATCCAGGCACCCATTCCTTTTTTTTACTGAAAGGTTTTTGTAATTTGCGAGAGGAAAAAAGACTTGAAACTATTATCAACCATTATATGTTATTCATTGACCACATGTTTGTTTGAAACGGCCATCGCTTGGTGGAATGCGGGCGATACACATTCTCTTCCATAAATTAGCACTGAAAAACTACCTAAATCAGGTAGGGTTTTGTTGAGCTTGTTGTATCATAATACGAACCAGACTATAACGTGGATGTTGCTTTTAGCTTTGCATTTTAATTCGGGTCCTGAGCCCCGACGGATGGAGCTCGGGACGAACAAAACCCGCTGACTTAGAGGCGTCCTGCTCACGCACCGAGACCCTTCGGGCCCCGCTGTGTAATTGCATTCTTGATTTACATGGACATTCTAATTTTCTTTATAACGTAGTGATTTGCTCCGAAGTATTTTGGCAAGGGCCTGCTGTTATTTTCTTCCTGAGCCTGTGATAAAACCTGCCTCCTGGGGGAGCATGCTGCGCCGAATAGAGGGGCAGAGGATTGGGAAACCTATTTTAGCTCATTTTGAGGGAAAATATTTTCTCATGGAGCAGAGGGGAAACCCCACCTGCTGCCTTTCTGCCCCCCCAGGAAAATAGTTTTGTGAAAGAATGTTTCTGGAAATGGTATCTGTCTAGTACAGGAATGCTGTGGCATGATGCTGAATTAGAAATGGCACCTTTCTAAGATGCAGTGAGAGGTCAGGGATGTAGAGATGGATGTCTAAAATCACTGATGGATGCCAAAAGCAAAAAACATTGCTCTTGTGCAATGGCTTTGAATCCTGAAGTAATAACTTTGAGCAGGATGGTGCAGTGGGGTCTGAAGGGGATGATTTCAGCAGTTTCAGGAGATGCAGAGATGCTGGGAGGGCTGGAGCCCCTCTGCTGGGAGGGGGGGCTGAGAGAGTTGGGGGGGGTCAGCCTGGAGAAGAGAAGGCTCCGGGGAGACCTTGGAGCCCCTTCCAGTCCCTCAAGGGGCTCCAGGAGAGATGGGGAGAGACGCCATAGGACAAGGGGGAAGGGTTTGACACTGAAAGAGGGGAGATGGAGCTGAGCTGTGGGGAAGAACTTGTTTGGTGTGAGGGTGGTGAGAGCCTGGCCCAGGTTGGCCAGAGAAGCTGTGGCTGCCCCATCCCTGGAGGGGTTCAAGGCCAGGTTGGAGGGGGTTTGGAGCAACCTGGGCTGGTGGGAGGTGTCCCTGCCCAGGGCACGGGGTGGCACTGGATGGGCTTTAAGATCCCTTCCAACCCAAACCATTCTATGCAGCAGTGGCACAAGAAGATAAAACGTTCCTTTAACAGACCCAAACCTGAGCTGCAGGAGTCTGGAGCATCTCGAGGAGTTTTTGAGAGTTTTGGAGTGAATCTTGCAGATCAGCTGCCGGTCCTGGCAGGTGGTGGAGTATTTTCCTTTTTGCTCTTTCTCTCCCCAGGCTTTCGGGTTTATGACACGCGTTGCTCTCCAAGCAGAGAAGATGAACCACCACCCGGAATGGTTTAACGTCTACAGCAAGGTAAGGTGTTCTCCAGCCCTGGTTGCAGGCACGGCAAGTTCAGGAGACCAAACCACTGGCCCATTCTCTCTTCCTCGTAGCTTATATACAAGGAGGGGAATGGAAATAAATTGTGTCTTTATAAAGAGATTTGAGATTTTTAAAGATACACTGAGATATTTGTAGTGGGGATACAGAATCAGGCTCTTTGCAGTTGTTTGCTGTCATGGTTTGGACCTGTCGCTTCACCTCTCTGGCTGAGATCTAAAAATAACTTAGAAGCCTTTAAACTCTTATTTGGCCAACCTGAATAAACGACTGTTTCGAATCCACTCACCAACTCTCATTCCTTTCCGTGGAGCGTGTTGGGAGCCCGGCGGTGTGGGGTAGCTGAGTGTCAATGTGTGGGTACCCATCCGGGAGCCTGGCAGTCTCACTTTAGGTTTGATTTTTGTAAAAAAAAAATAATAAAATTGTAGACCTCTGTGCTTCAACATAGCAGCTTATAAAATTTGTTTATAATATTACCTAAGTGGCGGTGGTCTCCTATTTACAAGGGTTACAAGGAACACTGCAGCCCTCGAATGAAAGGTGCTGTGTGAGGGGGGGGAAATTATTGCTGTGCCTTTATTTTTATTTTCTAATACTTCTCGTTGCATTGTGTTGAGTTGTTGGGTTTAGCATTTGACGAAGATGTGCCAATCCTGCTAAAAATATACTGAAAGGACATGGGGAGAAGCAGCCTGTGTCCCAGAGCAGAACATCCCCACCTCTCTCCCCAGCACAGGTTCCTCCTCATCAGCCCTTTAGGTCACCCTGTCTAAGGGGACATTAAATGCTTAGTGGGCAAAAGTCCTGACCACCTACACTTCATGACTTTCTTGGCTTTCCAGAGCGTTTAGAATTTATCCTTTTTTTTTTTCTTCTTCTTTTCCCCACTTCTCTCTTCCCAAAAATCTCAGTCGGAGGCGAGACAAAGTAACGCCCAACTTGTCATCTGGCTTAGTCTAAACAAACCCGTGCAGGCAGCTGCGTCATAGCAAAATGCACCAGTCCGTTTGTTTTTCTTTTTGAAATTAATCTGCAACAAGCTCAACAATTTTTTCACCTTCGGGGTGCTGGTTTTTAACAAAACCCCCGAGCCCCCGCCTCCGCTGTTGGCAGCTCGGTGACTGGCCCGGGGTTCGTCATGAAACCGATCCCTGGGGTTTCAGCGTGGAGAAAGAGTTATTTAATCGGACACCTCTTCTTGGACGAAACCCAAGAATGCAAAGCCTGTTTTATTCTGAGGAGGGGCTCGCTGTGGTGAGACTTCAGGCTCTCTTCAAGCCTCCTCCCCTACAGCGTCTCCTGGTTTACACGAGCGGTGGGTGTCCAGCTCGCCAGGAGCCTCCTGTGAAACCAGTTCACCAGGGAAGAGGGGTGGTGTTCCCCATGAACAGCCTACGTGCCGAAGGTCAGAACAGCTTCATAACCCTCTCCTTCTCCTTTTCCACAGGTTCAGATAACTCTGACTTCCCACGACAGCGGTGGACTGACCAAGAGGGACGTGAAGCTGGCCCAGTTTATTGACAAAGCTGCTGCCTCGGTGTAACAAAGATGTAAAACGTTTTAATACAGTGCCCACCAACCTTTTTTTGATTTAAGTGGTATCCCTCATTCCTTGTAACCCTGAGTTCACAACCCCCCCCCGAGAGAAGATATTTTGTAGAAAGAGTGGCTTGGTTTGCTTTGCCTTTTAGCCTGAGACCCCTCTGGGTGCCTGTGCTTGTCCTTCACCGGTGCTGGCTCCATGTGAGGATGTAGCAGATAAACCAGCACAAAATTAGTTTTGAACAATCCTTTTCTAGGAACTAAAACAAGCTGGAATGAAAGCTCCATCCCTGGAAATGTTCAAGGTCAGGTTGGAGGGGGCTTTGAGCAACCTGATTTAGTTGAAGGTTGTCCACGGTCATTGCAGGGGGTTGGAACTAGATGGCCTTTAAAGGTCCCTTCAACCCAAACCATTCCATGATTCCATGGAAGCAGGAGCCCACCCACACGTGTTGGTGTTCCTCAAGCCCGTGGGAGTTTGCCCCATGCCCAGCCACTTCCCTGCTATAGATTTGTACATCCCTGCACTTCAAACAGCGTGAGAGCAGCCAGGACAGGTCAGTCCCCTCCTTGGCACCTCCATCTCTGCCAGGGACCGGTGGTGAGTGCCAGGGATGCTGGTGAGAGCAGCCCAGGCTGCTGTTGATGTTTCCTTGGAGTTGCAGCTCAACCAGCAGCTACAGCTCTGCATTTTGGTGCTTATTCTGTGCTTCTCTGATGGTTCTTCAAACCCATCTGCCCTTTTGGCACCCGCAGCTTAGCACCTATGTCCACCAAAAGTCTTCTGGTTGCTTGAGAACCATCTGAGATGTGGGACTGGATCCTGCAGTTGCTGAAAACTTTAGCTCTGGTCCAGCAAATAAAAAAAAAAAACAACCCAGTGAGCTCCCAGCACTCACAGCATTATCAAAGCTTGAGCTTGGGGCCAGGTCAGTGCTCAGCACCTTGCAGGATGGGGCCAGCCCTCCTGTTTTAACTCTCCCATACCTGTTGGGTTGGAGGGGGGAGCCTGGCTGGGTGCCCGGAGCCCCGACGGGAGCCGACAGCAGTGGAGGAAGCGGCATTAGCAGGATTCTTGCTAAGCTGGGCTCGGCCAAAGCTATGCTCACCCTATTTATTTTTTTTTTTTTTTTTTTTTTGGTATCTGCAATTACTCATTGCGAACATTGTTCCAAGAGCTGCAGATCCCACTGACGAGGCTTAAAATAATTTCTTCCGCCGTTTGCAAAAGTCTTTGGGGTTTTTTTTTATTTTTTTTTAATCCGATGATCCTTCCCCGAGACAGGTTTCCACCGCCGGCAGAGACCGATGATCCTTCCCCGAGACAGGTTTCCACTGCCGGCAGGGAGATTTTTTTTTTTTAATTTTTTTTTTTTCCCA